ACCCAGCTGGCAGCCCTGGATCACAATGCAAACACTGGAAGACAGCAGGCCACTCTGCCAAGGGGTGCCAACCAAGGTGAGCTTCAGTACAACCTTGTCTTTCCAAAACACACAAAAGAGCAGGTGGCAAAACCAATTATGGACAAGCAGAGATTATCTGAACCCTATTCTGGATACCATTGTTGACAGAAAAAGGCAAAAGGACAGTGTCTAAGAGTGCACCTACCACTACATGCTCTTTTCCAAACTGAACTACAACAAGACAGTTTGCCTCTCCTCATACCAGAAAAAATGCAAGAGGTCGCAATCACTTTCATTGAAGTCTACATACAATTTGTTGGAATTACAGCAGGACAGGAAACCAGAATGGTCAAGTAGCTGACTGTCACTAAGCAGTTAACCAACCAAAACTCCATCACCTAGACAATGACAATGAAAGGCTACAACAGTTTGCAGCAGCCCAACCCGGACGAATCACAGTAAATGTCAGGGAGTTATTTAATTTAACTCCAAAATTGGAGTTAAAATTCTAGGCACAGGATAACTCCTTTTTGAAAGTTATTTTAACTCCAAATGTGGGGTTAAAATAACTATGAGGCTGGGGTTATTTTTACTCTTCATGGAGTTATTTTTACCCAATAACTGGAGTTAAAATACTTCCTGACAGCGTTTGAGTATTTTAATCTTTGGTCAGAAATGCAAAACAATTTTATACAATGTTGTGGGTTTCCAGTTCACAAATTGGCCTGATTACTGATATTTTTGTAATTTCTTCTCTTGCACGATGTTTTTTGTGACATCCTGATTCCTTCTTTATTTGCTATTTCAGGAAGGTGGTCATGAATTCTTGCCTTTACATGGCAATCATTTTACCATTTTTGTACGTGGAAATACACAACATGGTGCAGTTGGCCACCAGGGTCACTTACATTACCTGTGATCACCCTGCAGTTTCACACCTGTGAGCATGTCACAAAAGTTACTGAATCTGAGGAAGGAATGGAATATGAAATGCCTGATTTCCTAGTGGATTTTTTGCTGCAAGAAATTTTCGAGAATGCACATACTTGCAGCAAACACCTTTGCAAGCAATGGAAACTAAGACCAGTATCTTGGAACAAAATTCCATTTCCACTATCAACAACCCAGAATGAAATATTCTTCACTTTGGAAAATGTCTTAAGTAGTGTGCTATGCTAAAAATTAAGCCTCATTTCTCCTTCCCCTTGCCTTCCCCTTGCCTTCCTGCATACTAATTTGGATTTCCTGCATATTAATAAGTGTCTAGGTTTACTAATAAGCTTCACTCTTGTACAATGAAAACAAAAGGCTTGCCCAGACATGCCCGCCAATAGTTAACACAAATTGGTGTATTCCAAACTCTATTACGTTTTCAAAATAAAAACGCACTTTCCGTTGGTAGCATCACTCTTGCAATTTGTTTGCTGGGAAAAAAAATTTTTTGCTATCTGCCATATTCTTTAAAACACTGCTTAAATCATGCAAGTTGAATCAAACACCACGCCTTTCTTGACAGTACAAAGTGGAACAAGTGCATCAACAACGGGCAGTCTGTCTTATCGGCCATGTTTTTCAGCTAACGCATGCCACCATACCAGATGCACTGATCCAAGAAAAAGTACCTCGCTGCAATGGCTGCACCATTCAACATCCCAGTCAAAGACAGTACTCATGCCTATTGATGGATAGTGAAGATGCTTGGTTTTATTTCCGAGATATTGCGGTGGAGAAAATGAACCTCAATGATGACCTGAAGATCGCTGGTAGTGTGTGTAATACTCTTGGATTTAAGTTAGGCAAATCCTTGGAAGCATATGCGAGTGATCTCGCAAAGATGCCTTGGACCAGTCTATATCTTACCTCCCCTGAAATGAATAGCTTTGGTGAGATCGCTGAAGCAAAGCAACTGCAAGATCTAATTTTGCATTTTGGCAAGAGCAAAACATTGATATGTTTGAGGATGGTATCTCGGTTCCTGGCTTCACCCTCAAGTACCTGTTCTTGTTCTTGGATGAGCAAACTTATTTCAGTCTCTTTGATCAGGCTAGCAGTGACCAGTATCACTCAATCAAAGACAACAACACTGGAGGAACTTCAATTATCCTCCATCGCCATCACAAAGCCAGCAAAACAAGAAAAAGGGAGGCCGAGAGGACAGACTGTCAAGTTGTGTGAGAAAATCGTGGGATATGATGCCAATACCTTGTACCTTTGGGCCATCATGCAAGATATTCCCACCGGTAGTTATACAAGATGCCAGGCAGGGAACGAGTTCAAACCGAAAAGTTCCATACAGATGGTGATCGAGTGATTGGAATGGCTCTCTTACAAAGAGAGAATCCATATTCGTCACCAACTCAACAACACTGAAAAACGTATTGGTGATCAAAAACTCCCTGTGGACAGGTTCAACGCCCAGATGCAAATGGTCTATCAGTTTCACGGTTGTTACTGGCACGGTCATGACTGCGAACTTACCCATGGAAAAGAATTAAACGAAAAACAAAAGAAACCCAAGGCAGAGTTGTTAGAGGAAACCAGAGCCACCACCAGTAGTATAGGAGTTGGTGGTACCAGCTCAGTCTGAGACTGACCCATTACCAGCCCAACTCTATACTACTCTCATCATGTGTAACCCATGCAGTGTTGATTATCTTTGTAAAACTATGTTTTTATTTCGATTCTACACTACTCTAATAGTGTAAATTATTTTTTGTGAACTTTTACCCGTCTGTGTTTGCATTTGTCTTTGTCATTTCTCGGAAAGACGGGAAGTCTATGATCTCATACCGCCGGGACTTTCCCTCGGAAATGAGTCATGAGACAGTCATATGATTTTCTTTCTAATAATCAGAATTATACCCATAAAATTTTCCAACTGATAATTTTTCTGATAAAAAAGTGGTTTTTGATAAAACCCCATCTTATTATCACAATGCCCTCAAACAGAATTGATTGATTGATTGATCAATCGATGAGTTGACAATGCATTTTCAAAATGTTTGTGACAAGATACAAGATTCTATTGTTACATCGAAAGCAGATGGGATCAACTCAGGAATTCAGTTTTGACATCAACAGAGAAATTTATGGTTTGAATTCCATGAAGCTACATTCTACTTCTCAAGCTGTTGATCGCTATTCACTTGTCCTACAAGAATACGAGAAGATGCTTGGTTATGACAAATCAAGATGTAATCTTGTTGAAAAGATTAAGAAAACCAATGAGATGAAAAAGATGAAAGACAGCTTGAAGAATATACGACATGCAAGCAACTCAAAGAGTAATCCTTACCAAAAGGACACTGATGGTGATGAACATTGAACTTTTGTGAGTAAGACTTTGAACTCTTCATATTTTATAATGCCCGTAAGCATATGATTCTGTACCATTGTTCAATATGTATCGTTTATCATCGAAGCATGATAGACACTTTGTTGAGCTCATAACTACCAAGTTGATGATTGTCACTCCTAATGGTTTTCACTGTGTGATGCATTTGCTTATTATTGAACAGTGTTTTTTTTATAGTCTTCATGTTTGATATCTTTTTTGATTACAATCTTTGATACCTTTTGCAGTTTTACAATTTTCATTATTATCTTTGATCTACGAGTACATTTTACTTCTCAAACCAATAAATTCTTTTATCACTGAACCAGCTGCTTCATCTTTGAATTTATTTGTTTTGTAGTGGAATTTATTATTTTCAGGGTAATCGCTGTTATCGAATTTGTCTGTCATTCCAAAAGTCTTCATGCACGTCTTTTGTTTCGATTTCATATGTCAGGCTGTCTGTGTTGGTGAATAGTAGCTTAACTTTGTCATTATATTTATCTACCATGTAATTATAATGGAAAACGTACATCAACGTCTTACTGAGATCTAAAATGCACATACCAACATATGCTGGCTTATTCAAAGTTAGTGTTTAATCTTGTGTACGGCTACCAGATTTGCGTTGAAAATTTTTGATGAGACATAAGTTGGTGTCGATGTCATTTTTAACAATTTCTCCTTGCTTGTCACCAGTCTGACATCAACTCTTTTACGGATATTTTCCCTTGTCTTTCCGAATACCAAATTATTCACTAGTTTGAAGAAGTCTTTTCAAAGTGAATTTTTCGCCTGTTTTCTTTTCTGCTTATTGAAATCGATGTATTTTTTTCAAACAAGGAGATTGATTGAATTCTAATGCACTGTGTACTTTTTCAGTTTCAGTCCGAGATCTATATACAACTGTAGATTCTAGTAGTGCAGAACATATTCGTGTTTATCATTCAAAGTTGGAATTAATTTATACTCAACCTCGATTGATATATTGTATTTATTCTTGATTTTTTTGACAATACTCTGGAGCATATTCATCAGTCACTGTTACTTTTTCAGGTCCAAGAGGGTAATCATTGTGGAGATCGTGTAGTTCTTTTGGATATTCTAAATCGACTTCTAAAATTAATCCTTTTTTACTATCGTCTTTGCACTCAGCTAAGTTGATGTTGTTGATTTCTATTTTCAGTTAACCATCTGAAACCACCAGTTGGTAAGTACTGACTCACTGCCCAACCGTATAAATTATTAGTGTCAAGATACATGATAAACTTTGACGGCTTCTTTTTAACATATGTCTTCATATATTTATTATATGCTTGCCCATATTGGTTTGCAATATACGAAGTACCACCATGCTTACTTTTCTCGATGAATTGGTACATATCAACATCAATCATACCCTCTAATATGATGTTCATCATTTTCAGCATTGCATCTCAAGATAATCCAGGGCTTGTGAAGTAGTGAATGGGATCTAATTTAAAGTATTGTAGACAAAACGGTCTAAAATTTTCAAACACATCAGCTAATAATATGTCTGTTATCAGATACCATTGCATTGTATTGTGGGTGGCCAGAAACACATTTGCAAGTGTTGTTGTTGTTTATTTGGGCCCAGTTGTTTAAAACTGCGATTAGCGCTAATCCACACATAAAAAAATTACAACAAAATGGCTGACTTGTTGTTTGACAGTGTTGGTGTTGATGGGCAAAGAAAAAGGAAGCAAAGACAGTTTGGGAGCATTGGGTTCATGATAGATGGATATACAGACGAGGAATTAAGAGCAAGGTATCACTTTGGAAAGGAGTCTATACAGTATACTACCGACCTTTTAGCAGATAATTTCCATCGTAAAACCAACCGAAATTACCCTCTCTCCGCTCTCCAACAAGTCCTTATTGCTTTGAGCTTCTACACAAGTGGTAGCTTCCTTCAAGTGGTGGGAGACACTGTTGGTGTTAAAGTGCCTATGAACCCAAAAATTATTTTTGGCTTAAACAAATCTTTGTATAATTCTGAGCAAAATGGCGCAAAAAATTTTGCTTTTGGTCAAAACTGGAATTTTCTATGAATTTTTAAAGTGGCGGAAAATCAAGATTTTATAACTCATTGCCAAGCCACAGAACTTGCAGAAAGGGAATGGGTCGAGTGTAATTTGTGACGTAAAACCTGGACTATGATTTTCGCATGTTGCAGCATGTTGTGATTTTGATCGTAGCTGACCAGTACCGAAGCAATATGCCTGAGANTCCAACAAGTCCTTATTGCTTTGAGCTTCTACATAAGTGGTAGCTTCCTTCAAGTGGTGGGAGACACTGTTGGTGTTAAAGTGCCTATGAACCCAAAAATTATTTTTGGCTTAAACAAATTTTTGTATAATTCTGAGCAAAATGGCGCAAAAATTTTTGCTTTTGGTTAAAACCGGAATTTTCTATGAATTTTTAAAGTGGCGGAAAATCTAAATTTTATAACTCATTGCCAAGCCACAGAACTTGTAGAAAGGGAATGGGTCGAGTGTAATTTGTGACGTAAAACCTGGACTACGATTTTCGCATGTTGCAGCATGTTGTGATTTTGATCGTAGCTGACCAGTACCGAAGCAATATGCCTGAGAGATGTGTTGTTTTTGGTTGTAGCAATGTTCGAAACAAAGAGAAAGGGATACTGCTTCATCCCATACCTTTTTACGGTAAAGCCGACTCCGAAAAGCAGGGGCGAAGGAGAAAGTGGATTGATTTTGTAAAATCAAAACGCGCGCATTGGGAACTCAGCGAACATTTGGCGGTGTGCTCTGAGCACTTCTCAGAGGAAGCATACACAAACTGATTTGCCAATGATCTGGTTCGGAGGCTCAAGAGGGACGAAATCAGCGCTTGCGTTTTTCCAACAAAGCATGCTTGTTGTGTTTCAAGCAACAAAGCTGCAGATGAATCCGAAAGCGAACGAAGCAAACGAAAGGTGAGATAGTTTTCAGTATCAGTCAGTCTACCTGTCAAAACGACCTGAGGTTTTTTATCGTTGATTGAGATTGTTTCTTTCATTTTCCTTTTCATTAACGTTTGCGCAGAGTACTGTATGTTCAAGTACAAATACTAACTGCGACCTGTCTACATCATTTCAGAGACGGAAAGATGCAATGGAAAGTGCCAGTACAAGTGCTTATCAGCCTAAGTCTAAGCGTCAGAGAAAGAGCAAGAAATTAACCCCTTCTTCTCCACTGCTGTCCACTCAGGAAGAACCAGAGCACGTTGTTGAGGCAATGGACGTTTCTGGTCCTGTAGACAGGCAGACAGGGTTAAAGCCTGGATGCTGAGTAATGCACGTAAGCTTGGCGTCTTCAGGAAGGTCTTAAAGCACCAGGTCGCTAGTCAGAGTTTTCACGCATCCCTCCAGCTCACAACAGCAGTAACACTCGCTGATATTTTGCAAAAACTGAAGGTCACAATTTCCACACTGACACCTGCAAATGAAATTCACATGGAAATAATATTTAGGGCATGAAAATGTAGATGTAACAATTTGGATGTTGACAACAACAAACTCACACTTGTTGACTGCAACAACGGGAGTGCGATTATCGTAGCAACTTATCAATTTCGCACTTTTTCTGTACCATTAAGGCACTTTTGGAGCATCTTCTCTAGCGCCTCTTCCTCCTTTCTGTCCTTTCGAACAACGCTAACCATTCTTCGTCCGCTAGCGGATCGTCGGCATATGCCTCTTACGTGCCTTCCTCGTCACTAGTCATGTAGCTCGAGTTTGGCGAACCTTTGACTTCCAACTCGTAATCTTCCATTTCTGCGACTTCAGAATCCGAACTAGAGGACAAACTGAAGTCATTCGAAGCCATTTCTTGATCAACATGTATGCTAATTACAAATGTTGGCCGAATAAAAATTGTTTTCCCCCACATACAACAAAAACTACGTCTCCGCTTTTGTTGTTTTGTCTCTGTTATTGCTTTCTTTTCCCTGTTGCTAATGTCCGGGTTTTACGTCACTTGTCCCAGTCTCCCTTTTACCCGGTTGTGGGGCAGACAAACCCGGAATTCAAAAATTCATAAAAAAATTCCTGTTTTGACCAAAAACAAAATTTTTTTGCCATTTTACTCAGAAATATACAAAGATTTATATGAACCAAAAATAATTTTTGGGTTTATAGGCACTTTAACAAGTTGACAGTGTCAAGAGTGGTGGAACTTGTCGCTAGACAACAAGCACATATCAAGTGGCCAAGACAACAGCAAGAGCTAGGCAATTTAAAAATGGCCTTCTACCAGCGAGGAGGATTTCCTTGCATGATCAGATGCATCAATGGCATGCATATCTGAATCCAAGCGCCTAACAAAGACGAGAAAAGCTATGTGAACAGTAAAGGTTTCCACTCCATCAATGTCCAAGGCATTTGTAACCACGAAGGTAATCAACGTTTTTAAAATAATTTCTTACAACTTGGTTGACTGTTGTATTTGCAGATAAAAACGACTTTTGTAACATTCATGTAACACACAATCTACTATACCTACCTGTTCAAGTAAGATTACCCAGTAGCAACAGGATGTAGACAAAGTGATCTATTACTGGATAGACTTGAAAATTTTGTCACATTCACACTGATTGGCTGCAGTGAGTGCTTCACCAAAATAAAATGCCTTAGCAGCTTACCTTACATGATACTATTGCTTGCCTTCATTTCAGGTTTGTTTACTAACATTGTAGCTCAAGTGAGTTGACATTTTGAGCATTAAGACTTGACTTTTGCAATTAAGTTTTCATGGTCAGGTCAAATTATTGTTGTAATCTACATGGCTTCAAAATACAATAAGATTACATTTATGTTTTATGTTCAACACAACCAAGGGACAGGGGGTTATTCCAGCTTCAAAGTGACAGTGGAGGACAAAAAAGCTCTTCAATTTGAGTTCAAGACAAGTGCTATGACTTAGGGTATAGAAATCATTTTTGTTCACTATATAGCCAAAGCAAGAGTTATTATCATACACAAATACTGCTCACTGCTGTTTGTGAAAAGTTCGCATTTTATTATTCTGTAAAGACGTAGAATATTAATAAATAACTTAACCACTCTTATGTTGTTTTATTTATATAATTCACTGACTAATAAAGGCATCTTAAGTATTTCAATACATTTTATCTAGATCTGGGGGTACTCCCAGGAAAATTGGGAGAGGGTGTGCAGTTTACTTCCCAAAACCCTTATCCTATTTATGACCAAAATCTGTGATTTTCAATACCCTATTTCTGACCTGACCCTAAATCAATACCCTGTTTCAGACCTCCCTTATACTTAGTTCCTAGTTCAGACCGATGTTAAAGGCATCGTGAAGGGTTTTCATTGATTGGTCTTATCCATAATGATGAAAAAGTAGTTTCTTCTAAAAAAACATGTCAAATTCAAGACTAGAGTCTCATCAGGTTCATCACATCCAAAGAATAATAGGGTTCAAGGAGACCAAGTGCTCATCCATATCCACCTTCACCTCCTCCATGAGCTATATCCACTTCCACCCAAGGTTTTCCTCCTCAGAGCCACTTTCCCCCTATCCAGAGTTCCCTTGTTCTCCACAAATGGCTACATACAGCAGAAAGGAAGATGAGGACAGCCAAAGTGGTAGTGAATGTCAAATTTTAAACAGTCCAATTAAATGTCACATAAACAAACATGTTTGGCCACCTATGGACTAAGTTACACTATTTTAGGGTTCTTCCCTGTTTATCAAATAGGAATTCCAATTTGAAATCTGAACTGGTGTGCTACATGTATCTTGTTTCTTGATAGTCTTGATAACTTACTAGATTAATTCCCTACAATTTCTCAGCCAAATGCTTGACCTTGTAACTGGGAAGCTGCATAAACATGGGCACAAAGCAAAATTAATGGTGTTTCCCCATTACACCTGGGATAAATTTGAAGATCTCCTGGCACAAATTATGGTTGAGGAAGATGCCTAGACCTATTTGATGAAATGATGCCATTTTTTGCCACCAAGAATATGTACTCGTCAACAAAACTGCAAATATTTGAAAACGACTATCAGCATTTCCTTCAAATGGTCTCTGGCAAAGCAAAATCGCGTGAAACAGGTATTAGCCGTTTTTATGCTAGGGACGTTAATGTCGTCTTGGACATTAAAGGGCATGTAAACCCAAAAAATGCTATTTTGGAGACCACATAGTCTTTTAGTACATAAATGACATCTGCCAAATCTGAAGATCTTTTGTTCACTTTAACCCATTTTTATGTTGAAAATCCCTAAACATCCGCCATCTTGAATTGCACAATTTTGCAAATGACGTCATGGGTGGACTAAGTTTACAGGAAGTCAAAGGTCTCTCTTGAACATGTTGTGAAATATACAAATGTTTACATAGTTTCTTTTGGAAAATACCACATCTCCATAATGGTAAAACGCTGTGTCGTTCAGTTTTGCAGTAATTTGAACAAAACAGGCCATACTATTCATAAGTTTCCAAGGGGCAGCAGTGTTCAAGTGAAAAGGGCCGATTTCGTAGAGCCAACAGAGCATTTAGTTATTTGCAACATTCATTTTTCTCTGGATTGTCACGAAAAAAGTTTCAAGGTGGAAATGGGGCTGACAAAGCAAAGTCTGTTACTTTCCGGTGCTGTATGAACAACACAGTCTCCAGCAGCAACAAATTCTTGTGACACAAGATCCTTGTGTCATTCTTTGAACAACAGTTTATACACCACTGTGGTAGAAATAATTTAACCAGAGATATTGCTAGCAAAGTGCAGTTGGTAAATATAACATACACTTTAATCATTGTCAAGTATGCAAGAAATATAAAGACTTAAAGCGAAATTATGATGCAATAAAACACTTAAAAGTAGAACTGCTGTAGTAAGCAGTTAGAGCGGGACTATGATATAATAAACAGAGGTTGAAACTTAGATCTGGAGACCCATTTCATTCATTTCAAAAAGAATGTTCAAACCTCTTGCCGATCTTCTCAAAAAACTTTAGACCCCTTTGTGGAGAACTTTAGACTCCCTGGCTCAGGAGACTTGGGCAACCACTCCCCGTGTTCTTGACGTAAAATAAATTACCTTACCTTACCTTACCTATTGTCTCCAAAAATGTGCGATACATTAGTCGAGGGGTTGTTGAAGCTGAAGCAGCAAAAGACAGACTCAGCTGTGTAGAACAGTTGCTCAGTGCCATCATGCAGCATGCTTCATGCTTGGGCAAACAACCTCGAATTTGCATATCCACACTTGTGTTGTGAACTGTGGCTAAAAGCCGAGATTCCAACCCACACAAGTGTTCTTCAGCAAATTATTTACCTGACTCTTAGATCTGATATTCAAGAAAAATAGTTTCTGCAAGAACTTGGCACAATTTTTTTTCTAGAATCTCTACTGTTAGAGTCAAGTAAATAATTTTCTCCAGAACCCTCATTATAAATTTTGGCCCAATATTGTTACTGCCCTTTCTCCACTGAGCCAAGTCATACGAGAGGGTCAGGTATTTGTTTGTAGCAACATTCCTCAAATTTGCCAAATACCGAAAGATTATGTTTGGTGAAGGAAGTCTTCATTGCTATATTCTCAATTCATCATTTTGCAGTTGAGGTATTTTAAATGAATTGTTAATTTCCGCCACAATCACCAAGTATCCAGATAACTTTAAAGGATTGTCTCAGTTTTATATTACAGTGAAAGTAAAGACAACAGAGGAGGTGATGAACAACAGGCCTCCACCTGGATTACTTGATCCTTCCTTGGCTGCAGAATACAAGGCAATAATCTTGGCTCTTGTCATTTTGGACCTTTGTGGTTCCTTTAATTTGACTATTTGTAACAATTTGAACTGTTGTAATGTAATATTTAATGATGATCACTGGGATCTTAGGAGTGGCATTTTATGTGACTGTTCATGGCCCATTACCTCCTGAGGACATTGGATAAAGTCAAATTCAGGTTCATAGGTCAAGTTCCCATGACCAAATAAAAATAAACCAATCACAAATCCAGATAATACCTTCCTGTAATTTCCTATCATGAGTCTAGACAATTTTGATGTTCAAAAAGGAAATAGTGTAGTTAATAATGTATGGAGTATTCTACTAGTTCTCCGATCACTAGACGTGAAAGAGGTTAATATCTAAAAGCTGCAGGAGGATTGTGTTTAAACACGAAGGTGTGCTTTATAAGGAAGTCTTCCCTGGGAAGACCGAGGCTCATTTGTCAGTCACCGTTGACCTGTGTGGGTCAAATTCAAAATGGCGGGTGATTTGAATACACAAAAGGTAAGCTGTAAGAGAATTAATGTGTCTTTGCTGTCTTTACTTGCCATAAAATGAAATATCTTTATCTATAACAAAGTAGTACTTAACAGATTCCTATTTTATTGGATGAATCTCTAATCGAGGAGCTTACCGATTGGCCTACCAAGAACAACAGGGAGATTGTCCGTGTAGGGAAACCACGAAAGAAAAAATCAACGCCAGGTTAGTTTGCTTTTCAAGGATTCATATTAACAACAGGATTACAAAGTGATATTGTTCCACTCCGGCCCTATCCCCCACTCGGGGGCAAGGAACTAAGCGTTGTTCCACTACTCGCAATGTCTATGCTAATAATTGTTCTATTGGTAATGTCAAGTCCGATCTGAGTGGGTATTGTAGAATACTGTCAAAGCGTGTAGCATGAATATTCTTTGTTCCCGTTAGCAATAATCCGGAACTTCCAAAGCAGCAGATAAATATTTCTGGACCATCTTTTGGGTCAGACTTTCTAATCTAACTTGTATGCCATTTTCTTCTAGCTACAAAATCTTTTCTTGGCCTGTTTAGTTTGCTTAAACATACTTTCACCCGCCTTTTTTAACGTTCTCTGACAATGTCCTCTAGTAGCGCTTTACCAGTTCAAAATGGGTTATGTTCTCACTCATCAACATACTCTTGCTTTCTTAGACAGTTTCCGAAGAAAATGAAGCCAAGAAAAATACAGCAGCAACATGTGTCAAGCTGAAGCGCGAGCTCATTAGACAAGAGATTGAGACTAGTCAAACACAAAATCCTCCTCACATCAATGAAGCACACGCAACTGTCACGCATGAGATGTGCATCAACTGTTGTTCTTCCCCATGTGTTTTCTTTAGTGAAACCCTGCCAGCATGTTTGAGAACGTTTGGCCAGCCTTGAATGACAAACCACATGAAGCAGAAGGGTGACTATATGTCCTTTTATACCATTCTAAACCACTGTGGTTTACGGCGTGATCCTATTTCATAGCCCACAAGGAAGCAATGGGATGTTACATGGAAGATGTTCGGGAGGTCATGCCAGTTTGTGTTGTGGAAGATGTCAGGAGACAGTGGCCAAATCCTAACAGAGTGCCCTACTGTGATCACCGTCGTTCATAAGACCAGCATTACACTGCTTCATCAGCATTTCGCTCCTTACCAATAACACTCATGAAGAGAAAACTCACAAGATGAATAAAAATAGTCTACATTTATTTCCATAATGGCAATCCACAAGGTACAACTAAGCTACATTTTAACACAATACACTGTAAGCCCTAATTCTGCACCCCACTCTGCAACATCTTGAGGGATTGATCAGCATTTTTCATGTTATTCTTCCACTGCTTTAACTTATACTGTAATCCTACTAGTAGAAAAAGGAATTGGGGTGCAGTTTATTTCCTCTCAATATAGATAATCAGGTGCTATTTACGATAACAAATTGTCAGTCACTTGGGAATATTTCTGGGCAAAGGAAAGTTGAGGTCATCAGTCAAGAGAATTGAATGAACATCAACTGAAATAATACTCTTTTCAAAAGAAAATAAAAAAGCAACTGAAATAATACTTAGCCTCGAAATCTCTTTGATCATCAATGAACTCATTCCAAGACCTAAGCTACATCATGTCTGAAAAGGAATGTCAACAAATAGTAGCCTTATTTCCTGACACTTCAATAGGTTCTGCAAACAACGTAGAAGCTGCCAAATACATACTAGGCGAGCGAGGCACATGGCAACACCTAAAAGCATAGAAAACTGCAAAGAGTGGGGTTGGAAACAAAAATATGTATCATCACCTCCATTATTGTTAGCACAACTTTTATCATTACTATTATTCTTTTCTGCCCTCGCCGAGAGTCTGTTCGCAGGCTTGTCAAACACCTACTAGTGATTGCATGCACACTCTGCTTTTTTTCCTTTTTTATTCTTTCTTCATCATATAGGATAGAGAGAGCTTTTTTAACTGAAGAAAATGTCAGCAGCAGCACTGACATATCCAGACCAATTTTTTTGTACCATGTTGAGAGTACCAGTATACATCTGATCCTTCCACTAGTTCCACCATCTGTTGTTTCATAAAGAGAAAAAAAAACATTCTCACATAAAACCTGTTGCTGCATTAAAATGGTAATATTTTTCCCTAAATGTTTTACCTTAGACCTATGGTCACTAACTGAGACTTAATACATCCCTCTATTGTAAGCTGCCTATCTGGGACATACATAATTATACTTTTAAACACAAAGGACGATAAGGACAATAGCAAACACTTCGTATTTGTTATACTCATCAAAAGCAACAAAACTTAACAAGAAACCGTCAGAAAATATCATTGATTACTTTTCTGTAAGTTGTTTTGTTTTGAGTATACTATGTCCTCATTTGTTGTGAAAAACTTGCATTCTTGCGGTCAAATTCAAATCGCCCGTCATTTTGACCTAATCCAAACCCCAACAGGCCATCTGTGGGGCTTCCTTTGTCTATTGTGAGTCTTCAGTTCATCAGTACAGTGGCAAGCAGTTTTCTAGTGGATTCATGCGTTAATATGCAAGGTATTTGAGCCCGAATCAACACATAGGGACGCGGATAAAATAACCGTCATTTTACTTTGACGTTCTTGGAGAGAATTTCACTTAGTCTGAGACCTTTTGTTGAGATTTTTTGACGATTCGACTTGGAAAATGGAAAGCTTCCACCCTCCAGATAAAAAGAAATGTACAAAAACCAACAAACATAGAAATGCACAGTGAGATCCAGCAGTAAAGGTAAAGAATCCGATCCCACCGGATGCATTGGTCAACACACCACCAACACATCACCGACACACTACCGATGCGTCGGTCGACACACTATCAATGCATCAGCCGACACACTACCGACACATCAGCGAACACTCGGTTAAAACTCTACCAACGCATTGGTCGAAATATTTTCCCTTTCAAACTATTATTTTGTTATTTCTTTCAGTTGGAAGCAAGAACAACTTCATAAGAAAGGACGAAAACATGATAGCTAAATAGCCGCCATTTTTAAAATGAAACACTAGTACCAACTCAGCGCACGGATCACAAGAGGCTTTGAAAGGCTGGTAAGTCGTGCAATTTTGCTTCCCAAAATCTGCATAGCCCAGAGGAACATCAGATGCAGCCATATACTTAATGGAATATTAGATCCCTCGAGTAGTAAAGGAGATGGGGGTACGAGGCCCATTGTTGAAAATGGCTTATTACCATCCATCTCAAACTATATGCTTTTATTTTTTGGTGAAACTATAGGTACAAGACCATTGCGTGACATTTCTCAAAAATACTGGACATCACATTTCTTGGAATCAAGCCATGAGACAGTTGTATGATTTTTTCCACCAATCAAAAACTTCCCCATAAATTTACCATCTGATATTTTTTCTGATAAAACGGCTGTGTTTGATAAAATATCGTTGCAATGCCTTTATCAATGGAGGAGTTAACAAGCCGTTATCAAAACACTTGTGATAAAATAAAAGACTCCATACCAATAATTGTAAGTCTGATGGGTTCTTCTCAAGAGTTTTCTTTCAATATTAACCATGAAATCTATGGCCTGAATACAATGGATTTACATTCGACCAGAACTGCCATGGATCGATACATAACAGTTATGCAAGAGTACAAGATGCTAAATTATGAAAAATCTAGATGGCATCTGGAGGAGCAAATACAGGCAACACAAATTAAAAAAATGAAAGAATTGAAGAATAAGCATTATAATACCAAGTCAAAGTATCATCCATATAAAAGAGATGCAGATGTAGATAAACATTGAACCTTATTATTTACTGATGATTGATACTTTTCAAGCAAGAGATTTAAACACATATCTTCTATAAATATTGTATACAAATATAATGTTCTATAATTGAATAATTTTATGATGTCCACATGCATAACTGGTTATTCCATTATTATGGATGAATCTCTTGTCATCGAAGCAAGACAATGATACTTTTACTCAGCTCATAGCTCCCAAGTTCATGATTGCTGCTTCTGATCGTTTTCATAGTGCGATACATTTGCTTGTTATTGAATAGTATTTCTTTATAGTCTTCATGTTTGATGTCTTTTTTGATAACAATCTATTTGATCCCTTTTGCTGTTTTACTGTTGTCGTCATTGTCTTTCATAGATGAATACATTTTACTTCTCAGACCAATAAACTCTTTTATAAGTGCACCAGCTGCTTTGTCTTTGAACGTACCAATAACCTTCTTGTTTGTTTCATCATAGAATTTACTATTTTGGGGGTAATTACTGTTGTCGAATTTATCTTTGTTCTTTTGAAAGTCTTCGTACACATCTTCTGTTTCGATTNGAAGATACAGAAATGCAAAAACACCATGGAAGCATTGTAGTTGTAAACAAACATGTAATGATCGGCTAGATATACATGTAAGCTGCTTCAATTCTATGGTGAAATTCTTTTCACCAATTTCTAATGACAGTTCAACTTTGAAGGGAGGTAAATCTCTCAAAGACATGTTGGTAAGAGCCAAATTTTGAGAGACACATACAATCACATCACATCTATCATGTGGGAGTCCGTGTAAATTTAAGACCTTAAGAACGTTTTCAGCCTCAAATCGCAAAAAATTATAAGAACATTCAGCCTCAGCTCCAAAATTAGAGGTTCTTATATATCTATAAAAAAGAGTATAGTACGCGACCTGTTGCAAGTACCGCATGCTTCTTTGGCAATTTGCCCGCAACCTGCTCAACGCTAATTAGCCACATTCGCACGCACTTACTAATCTATGATTTCCTACTACTAGTAGTAGAAATAAGACAGATCAAACGCACTTTACAAGTCATTGATTATTACTAGTATCGTGCATAATTCATACCTTTAACTCTTGGGATTAACCACCTTAAAAAGCTCTTGAAAAGACCGAAATCACGGGCTTGAAGACCAAACACGATATCGATTTCCTTGAATTCCAAAGATCCCACCAGCAAGCATGTTTCCCAAGTTCAATGTTTCAATTCAAAATACCTGCCATGAAAAGTTTGATATCAGCTGACCTTTTCTATAATTGAAATAAGAATCGTGAATACAACGTATGAAAACCCACGAGCGAAGACAGAATTTACGACAAATCGCTCGAGCGGGATAACACAAAGGGCGGTTTATTTATGGGCGCGTAAAACTACATGTACATGCTCACGCAATGTCATATTCCACTCATTCTAGTCTATCTTTATAACAAAGGAACCCACCTTATGTAACAAATGAATCATAGATCATGTAAAGTGGAATAAAAATTCGCTTGAAACGTAGCAAAGTACACATACCTCTTTCCTAGTGGAAACGAATGCAACCTCGCGCACTCCTCCGATCTCTCTCGATACAATGAAGCGGCGAATCCCGTGGGAGTTGAACTCTTTCCAATTTGCATGAATTTGCATTTAATTTGACAACTGAGTAAGTAAGTTAACGCCCACGCCGCTGACCATAAAGTTCAAGTACATTATAAAGGCAGTCACGCCATTATCACCGAGAGAACACTGACGAGAAGAGCTCCAGAAAACCGTGTAGATCCGTGTAGCATATTCTGTTTTCATTAGTATTCAGCTGAGGATAATTTCAAAATTGCTGGTCAAAAACACAGAAAGTCAGAAAGACAGTTTGGGGGAAGCCATACAATTTCTCAAAATAACAAACCCAGAGAATAGTGAATAGTTGAACAAGTAAATAAGTAGGCTCAATGGCAAGTTTCTCATGTTAAGATATTGCATGTATACATACATACAAATACATACAAACTTTAATAATTTGTTAGTTTACGATCACGCCGCTGACCATAAAGATCGAGTACATTATAAAGGCAGTCACGCCATTATCACCGAGAGAACACTAA